TGCTTCTTCTACAGGACTAGATGCTTCTTCTACAGGACTAGATGCTTCTTCTACAGGACTAGACGCTTCTTCGGTTGTTTCTACGAAAGATCACAGGACTGTATTTTAAATTATTCTCGACGATCATCATTTTGTCCCCATTTTATCACCGTTATGTGATAAAATAATCAAAGAATTTTGAAGGGAAGATGGAGGAAAGAAAATTTAAAAAATGATTTTCTTTGTATTTTTCTAAGTTGAACAAATATTCGTCCCCATTTTTTTTTTTTTTTTTTTGTAGTTTTTCCACGTACCGTCACAAATAGAGTACCGTCGCAACTTTTTATTCGAATTAATTATATTTATACGGAAAAACAGTTACAGCGACGAATCGAAAACTTTCCGTGTAACGTTTCGCAACTACATTGCGGACGTTCGATGCAAATTAAAATTTGTTTGCACGATCACAGATAAATAGGAATTAAAATAAAAAAAACTCTGTTTCTGCGATACATATTTTTTCTTTGGAATTATTACGCGCATTGAAATTTCCCATGCATGAATCATCCGCAGTCTAGTTATAACTTTGTAACTGCGAATAACGTGAAAAATTCGCGATTCGCACGAATCGTCGCAAAAAGAAAAAATCTTATATAGATTACGTTCCGATACCTTTCTTCTCTTCCTCTTCGTTTTTTTCATTCTCCATGTCCCGAAATCGATCTTCCTCGGACAAAAGTTGACCTTTAAAATTCTTAAAAGCTGGCCTGGCTTTAATTCAGCCTCTCGATCCCTCGATCATCGTCATCGTGAAACAACGACGAAAGGAAGGAAGAGGGGGAGCAGCAAAAGCACAGGGGATTCAAGATTCAGAGAACCGGTTCCGAGTCGGAGAGGGAACGGGCGTGAGGTAGTCACGGAGGTAGCGGAGATCGGTAAATTTACCCAGGGACTACGGTTCTGATCCAAGTTGTCGTTTTAAAACGCAAAAACCTCTTCCTCCTTTCTCCCTTAATTTTTCGCCTCGCCTCTCGTTCTCCGCCTTTCGTTGGACGGACACACAGGGCTTTTGAGGCTTCTCCACTTGATTATAGTCGTCTCGAATTAATCCGACTTCGGTTGATTACGCGGTTAAACGACTCTTCTCTGTCTTTCTCTCTCTCTCTCTCTCCCTCGTCGTTTCCGATTTTCTGCTCGAATCATGTAAATTTATGATAAGCGCGTGGCCATCGATCAAAGCGAATAGAAAACAGGTAAGTACTAATTTTAGGGAGTTTTGATCGGCAAGAGGGTGTTATTAAGTAATGAGGGGAAAAACTTTCCATCCAAGTGTCAAGAGAGGATTGATAAATATATGATTTTAGAGAGAAGGAGATGGAAAAAATCTTCATGCATTGGTTTCTTAAAATGAATTGATTTGAAATCAAGTATATTTTCAAGTTTTTATATTATTTTTATTTAATTGTACGATCTAAAGGAAATTATTTGCCAATCCTTCGTTTGGATGACCGAGTGAGTATTTTGAGAAATAAATGTTTTTGGTATTCTCTCTCTCTCTTTGTTAACGCGTGATTTTGAAAACAATATGGGTTGTGATTTTTTTTTTTTTAGGTGATGAAAATCTTTCTCGTTCAACTCTCTATCCAGACAACTGAATATTTTGGTTATAAATATTTCTGTTTTGTTTATTATTTTCGTTTGAAAAATTTATTTTTATGTTTCGATATTTACAATTTTTGTGGAAATGGAGGGAGGAACTATTTACAAACGTTTCATGAAAATAATTGGAAAAGAGTCAAGAGTCTCGAAACATGATTTTTTTTTTTTTTAAAACATGAGACAAGTTTGCAAGAAGATCTTTCTAAATGCAGATTGA